GTTCCTCAATCTCATTTCCTTAGCTTTTACTTTTTAAATTTCTTTTAAATAAATTCATTTTATTCTAATTTCTCATAAATATATATAAGTTAAAACAAAAGCATGCTAATTTATGTTTTTAGAGACTGCTTTCTTTCTTAATCTGGATGCCAAATGAGCAGACAGAAGTGCAGTCCATACGTACAATGATAGCACATTATGCTATTACACACAGAACACAGTCTCTCACACAGAGTAGATCAATCTGCACAGTTCTTGAGTGGAAGGTCACTCAAAGCCTAAAATTCTGTCAATGACCTTTAAGCTCAGCTTAACAAAGAATGAGCAGAGATACCTTCATCTCCCTACATAATGAAACTTGGATTGTGAATACCGTGTTTAACTGGGAAATCTCTCTTGTGGCACTATGTGTGTTAAAAAGTTGCCAGGAATGACAACGAGGTTTTGATTATATATCTATCCCTCTTTCTCTCTTCTAATGATTTTTTTAATACCATACATATACTAAGCTCTCACTCGAAGATAATCCTTTTAATACTAAGTGAAGTTTAAAAGCAACCTCCAGATCTTTCAAGGATGTTACTTTTACATGAACCTAATAGCTGCAGATTCTGAGAAATGTACAACCATTATAAAATATAAAGTTCAGCACAAAAGCACCCTTCGATTAGGGGTAAATCACATCTTTGATCTTAGTGAGCTCATACAATAAGGATCAGGAACTATAATAGCTAACTTGATATAAAGAAGGAGGTTACCCTCATTGAAGTAACCAAATACTTATTGGAGCTAATCCAAACTCAGTCTGAAAATATCAGTTGGAAGTATGTGAGAGCGATCTTTCTGGAACATTCGTTGCTACTAATCCTAAAGAAAAATTTTGCAGATGTGCCTACTCTCCATGGGCCCCTCCCCATAATGGCTTGATCGGAAGATGAACCACTTTCCCAGAGGTTAGACTGCTCACCTGAATCCTTACTAAACCATCAACTTACTTTTCATTAAACTAGGTATTTATCTATGTTTCCAAATGAGGGCACTACTGGGTCCGATACATTGTAGCAACGGTAGCATCCTTCGCTCTCGAGCACCAAACGCCAGGTGCGTGCTATATGACAATAAATAAATAAATAAATAAATAAATAAAATCTTTTTTTAAAAAAAGAATAATCTTTTAAAAATCAAGCTAACTGCAATTTATTCTAAAAAATTATTTTAACCATTGCCCTATGTGCTTTTACTGTACTCTTCATATTATGATTCCTATTCACAGGATCTTTTATTCAGAGGCCACAAACTGGAAAAAGCAAACACATTCTAATCCTCATGCTTTTGAGGAAATCTGCCCACATTTCCAGTGACAGGTGAACTTATCATTTATATGTTACTGCAAGTTGTCTTCTCTTTAACAAGGGTCAAAAGAGCCTGAACGGCCTCACCCTCCTCTGCTAAAGCTCAGATATACAATCATGAAAATCAAAGACAGACAATATCAGTGTGGATGTAGCAGAAACCTAATAGGATTAGAGGATGAACAGGATCCCAAGCCTAAAGTATGAGAGCAGAAAATAAAAAGCACCAAATCTCCACCCAAGGGACGAAAAAAGTCATTCTGATGTTGGCGGGAAGGGGCCTGGAAATGGACACTTTTAAAGCAAAGGCTCTGACAGTACAAATAAGAGGCCCAGGCCACCTGCCTCCCTCACCCCCACCCCCAAAGAAGCCATCCATAAAGGTTCTCTTTTGGCAAGGCACTGCATCCTGGAAAGCACATTAATTAATCTGAGTACCAATCAGAGACAAGGCTCTTAAGGACACAAGCCACTTACATCTCTGATGCTCAGTTTCCTCACTATATCACTTATACCAATATCAATATTCTGATATTATCCTCAATGATCACAAAGCAGTTTAGCACACAGCAATGAAGTTTACTATTTCCAAGATCATTCACTGATCCAGGATTTAGTGGGCTCCTAGAAGAGCATGTTACACAAAGTTGGCACTTAATAAATAGCTCGTGATGGCTGGGGAGAGATAGATGGACAGATGAATAGAAGGAATGAAGGAACGACAAAAGCAGGTCTGAATGAATGAATAAATGAATGACCATAGTCTACATAAGACTATAGAATAACAGAGACATCCAAACATGACAAAACAACTTGGAAACCTCTTACATTTCCAAACTCAAGATTCATCCTGCAAAGATGACCCATTCGGTTTCTGCAAGCATAAGCTCATCCGAGGACTCTTTGACAGTCTTATGACAAGTAGGTGCAGAGGACGTTGATCCTCCTGTCCAGTGCCTAAGAAGGTCATCTGCCCAAAATTAAACCCGTCTTTGTCCTTCAAATTCATTTAGGTAGGCCCTGTAATAATATAAGTCTGGGCAGCCTGCCTCCTCTGGGGCTTCATCTAGACAAACTAAAGCCATCTTTACATTCAGAAATAGCTTAGACAGCACTTAAATCAAGGTTTGCCCATGAACTTAGGTCAATGTTCAGAGAATTTTGTTTTGCCTGAACTTCTGATGAGCTAAAGATAAATTTTCTTTCTGAGGATGAAAGCAGAGGTTTTTAAAAGTCGTAAGTTTTCAAGATCAGAGGCTGAAAATATAGAAGCTGTCTAACCACCGCCCAATTTTTTATAAGTTCCATGCCATCAGCTCCAGAGGTTCAAGCAAAACTTCATTATTCTGGGAAGTCCCCTTAGGTCGGCTGTAGCCAGATATGGGGTAAAAAAATGATGTCTAAAAGACACAGACTGCACTACAAAGCAGTCATATAAATACTACCTGAGGTTTTCACATTGAAAGGATAGGGATGTGTGTTGGAGGAGCCCTCATTTTGATTAATGAAGGTAGACTTTATTCTAAAGCCAAATCTTTCTGTAATTCTCATTCACTGTCTTGGATTTTAATGTGCACAACTTTTCTCAGTCCTTAAATAAAACATTACTGCGTATTTCCAATTTTACAGTCATGATACACAATTATCTGCAATTTTGTGTGTGCAGAATTAAGGTGGAATTTAGAAGAGAAAATAAAGCAACAACAACAACAACAAAACCCTACTCTTTTCTTCATTCCCAATTCTTAGCTTCAATGTCAAGCTTATTTCTATTAAATATTAGAACAAGGTATAAAGAAAAACATTCATCCAGACAGAGATATTAGCATACCCTGATCAGCCAGGACATTAAGAATCTCTAAAGCTTTTGGGAGGAGAAATAAAATCAACCATGGCAAATGGGATACTCTGCAAATAGGGTTTTTCACACATAATGTTCCAAATTATAGCAGTATGTGATACTGACTTCTTCCCAGGTTGTTCACACGAGCCCCACTACATGAATCAGCACACTCTAACCAGAAGGAACCATTCCTAGCAGTCTGGCGTTTTGTAGAGAACAAAAAGGCTGTTCTACATTTTCCCCTGAAGTTCAGTTGGCAGAATTTCTCAGCTACATCAGCCTCTTAAACCCTGGGATCCTTTCAAAGGAGGAATCGCATTAAATGAAAGTAACCCATTCCATTTTCTCCCACATTCTTTTATCACTTATTTTTCTCATCAGTGGATAGCAATGCCAGCTGGGCCAAATGTTGGAAAGTAGAGTAGAAATGAGCAAGAAAAACAAATTACCCATAATCTTCCCTCCTAGGAAACAACCCATGTTCACATTTCGGCAGATATCCTTCCGGACTTTTTCCTATGTGTCATGATATTAGTTAGAATTGTTATATGTATCTGCTTTTCCCCCTCTCATGTATTGATATATCATGGGCATTTTCCCTTAAAAACTAAATTCCCTTTAAGGTTTCAAGAGAAACTCTAGGCAGATAGTGAACTATGAAAAAAAGACAGTCTTTTGGAGAGAGAAGCATGATTAGAGAAAGTTATGAAATGCTGCCCTACCAGTAAGGATATGGAAGAAATTATCTGATGTCTTTAATGGCAATTCAAAGTAACAGATGTTAGTCTTTGAAAATAACTTTTTATATTACAGAAACTTATATACTTCAATAAAAATATGCTTATATCAGGTTCCCATTTAATCAAACCTTACTTTATATTTTAAGGTTTAATATGTACCATCCTTCAGTACTAACATCCACGTACACACTCTCCTATATTAAATCCCTTGAACATAGAAAACTTAATTCTTATACAAACTAAATAACTCAGAAAAATTTAAATATCCCATTTTTTCCTACATTAATGAAGAATTCTCCAAATGTAAAAGTTAATTTGAACCACCCAGTAAATCACGTATTCATTCACACTTCTATCTATTCCACAAAAATGTATATACTATGTTCTCAGTAGTATTAGTGGCAAATATAAGTACTCCCTTTCACCCTAAATAAAAAGGAATGAGATATTTCTGTGAACCATGTACTATGTATAAGCATTTATATTTACAAAGAAATACAACATCAGGTCAACTGGGTAATGGCTGAGTTATCTGCAGCCAATTTCTGATTCTTAAAATTGACCTCCAGGGCAGTGTGCCCAGACTCTCTCACCTAATTGTAAAGACCAGGACACAGATGCAACAGTTACTGCTGCTGGGAAAAATAATAGCAAAGTATTCTATAGGCCAATAAAACTTTTAAATTAACTGAAATCTTGAATTATTCTTTCTGCTCCCTGAAATTAATAAATATTAACTACAAATGTAGATACAGGGTATATAAAATGTGTAAAGTATTAAAATAACCATACATGCTTTATATACTATGCATTCACAAGGTATATGTAATGTGCATATGTATATACCTACACACATATATATTTACATATGCTTTTTTCAAAATACGTGAACATTGTCTAACGAGCATTTTCTAAAACAATATATTTCCCAGTTTGAAGACACATGGCATAAACATGTAAATCAGAGCCAAAAACTTTTATAATAAATTCAGAAAAGACTCCCTAGGATTCCATATATTTATGGAATTTTCAGTAACAAACTTCTATTTCTCGCTTAGTACTTACGTTCCATGAAATAGGGCCCAGGCTCAATTCTCCATACAATTTGCCCTTTTTGGGTTCCAGTCACACCCCTGTTTTTAGAATCCCAGAAGTTGGCTGGAGAATTCTCATCTGGAAAAACCAAACAAACACTTTTCAGCTTAATTACAACCCACGAGTCCTTCCTTAGCTCAAAGACTAATGCAAGTTCTAAAATAAAGGAAAGAAAAGATAAAGGGGGAAATATTAATGAACACTATTATGAATGAACAGCTCCCGGCAGATTATTACCCTGCATTTCTGCACTTGCACTGATATGGGAGAACTGGGGAGGGGACTGAAGGAAGTTGGCATTTCTGGGCTTGGCCTGGTTAATCAACGTCACCAAAAGACAAAACTGGAAAGAACAAAGGATACAACTGTGCAGCATCAACGGTGAGCTGACAGATAAGAAAGGAGCTGGGTGTGCTCCCGTCTATAAGATCCCGTATAGAAAGGAAAGGAAGAGCAACGCTGGGAGAACATAATAGAACTCCAAGTGGAATTAAAAAAAAAAAAAGGGAACTTAAGCTATGAAAAGGAGTAAGACATAGTACAAGTTTGCCATGAACAGTGCTCAGGAGACACCAACCAAGTCATCACGTCTGCTAGGATAATTCTTTACAAAAAGCTGAAGGCGTACTGGTGGTGGGTATTGAGGAGGGCACATTCTGCATGGAGCACTGGGTGTTATGCACAAACAATGAATCATGGAATACTTCATCTAAAACTAATGATGTAATGTATGGGGATTAACATAAGAATAAAAAATAAAAAAAAATGTTGAGAAAAAAAAAAAGCTGAAGGCGTAAATATCGAACAATACAAAAAAAGAAGAGAGTGTTCAGGTATTTGTATGGATAGAAAGGACAGCCACCTGAAAGCAGCATTTTCCAAGCTTTCTGACCTCCTGGCACACAGAAAATGATAACATTTGGAGGGCACATTGGGATAAATGAAAGAGGCGCTTATAACCTAAAATGGCAGGCAGGGACGCTCTGGTGGCACCAGGCTGTGCCCCACCACCCCAAAGGCTGAAGGTCATATGCTATCATTTGCCCGCATCACACTAGTTTGAAGCTCTGTCCTAGGGCCTAGAATAGGAAATACAACTAAAAAGAAGGCCATGCAGAGTGTCACAGGTACATGAGAATGTGTTCAGTGATACTGGCTCTTAAAGTCAGATGTACTTCATTTGTCTCCCCAGATCCCTTTCACAGGAGGAAAGATGAAGGACACGCTTTAACCGAGAGCTGGGATGAACTAGATGTGAAGTAAGAGCAACACTGAAAAAACGAAAGATGGAGAAAAGGTCCCAAGCTCAAGGGAATAGTCCTGAGAAGAAAAACCTCCCCCACCCCTTTTTTTTTTTTTGTGCTTCTGGAGTATGAAAGAAATAGAAAGTGGGCCAGAGCGAGGGGTCAGATAATCCAGCCCTGTCTGTCTGTGGTTATGCTGGGAACCCACTATTTTTTTTTTAAGATTTTTATTTATTTATTTGAGACAGAGAGATACAGAGAGAAAGAGAACATAGCAGGAGGAGAGGCAGAGGGAGAGGGAGAAGCAGACTCCCCGCTGAGCCTCCCCAACATGAGGCTCGATCCCAGGACCTGGAGATCATGACCTGAGCTAAAGGCAGACGCTTAACCATCTGAGCCATTCGGTTGACCCCCCCCCCCGCACTATTTTCATCATATGGGTAAGCCAAAGAACTCTGGGAGGAATGGTCTTCTCTGCCATTTGCATTCAGCACATTGTAAGTCAAAGATTCTTTTTGTAAAAGACCAAGAAGGAGCCACTGTTCTTTAGAAGAATGGAAAAGCATAACCCCCTCATGCCATCACCTCCTCTCCTAAACAAATGACCCAAGGCCAACCACTCCGTTCCATCACAGAAACAGAACAGCAATGCTGATATTTAAAAGGCAGTACCTAGCAGGAAGGGAAGAATGAAGGGGGGGAAATCGGAGGGGGAGACGAACCATGAGAGACTATGGACTCTGAGAAACAAACTGAGGGTTCTAGAGGGGAGGGGTGTGGGGGGATGGGTTAAAAAAAAAAGAACAAGATGGGTCAAAATCAATGGAACAACATTTCTTCAATGAAAATAATTGTTACCACTCACAATAGTTAAAATAATACAAACATTATTTAACTTAATCCCCCACAGAAATTTCATATGTGCGTTATTGATTCATTTTGCAGATGACTGGTTGATGGTTAGAGAAGCTTTGTGACTTACCCTTACCCACACCAACCAGACATGATATGGCTGGAATTTAAACCATGTCTTTCTCAATAGCACAGAGGACATTAGGGGAAGGAAGGGAAAACTGAAGGGGGGGAAATCAGAGGGAAGACGAACCATGAGAGACTATGGACTCTGGGAAACAATCTGAGGGTTTCGGGGAGGGGAGAGGGATGGGGTAGCCCGGTGATGGGTATTAAGGAGGGCACGTGTGTAATGAGCACTGGGTGTTACATGCAAATAATGAATCATTGAACACTACATCAAAAACTAATGATGTACTGTATGGTGACTAACAATAAACCACGTCTTTCTCTAAAAAAATAAAATAAAATAAAAGGCAGTACCTAAAACTGGTTGTGATAGATGTCATGGGGCTCCCCAGTGCAGATCCCGATCACTGCCCATCCACTGAGCTTCCTCCTTGCCAAGTGAACCCCAATTTTATCCAAGGCAACAATGTTCCCAGTTAAAAATTCTCACCTCTCCAGAATGCCTTGCAGCTAGGGGTGGCATGTGGTGTAACCCTGGCCAGTGAGATGGAAATGGAAGTTTACTGGGTGGGACTTCCGGGAAAGCTATTATTTTCCTGAGCTAAAAAGGGCAGACTCAATAATCCTTTTTGCTCTTCCCTCTCCCCTCTTCTTGGATGACAGCCACATGCTAAGAATGGCAGAGCAAGAAGCCAGAAGTAACCATGACGAGTCCTCCAGCTCTGAACCACCTGCCTTCAGGCTTCTTGCTACCGAGGCAACAGTAAATTGGTTTGGGTTTCTGTTAACCTGCACCTTAACACAATTCCTAATAGATATACATACCACCCTAAAAATCAGTGATTTAGACTCATCATGCCTGACTTGATCTAGAATCCCCACGACTGGATCACTGCTTCAGTCTAGACCACAAAGATACTTGCTACACGTCTAAAAGATAGTTTAGTGGGCAGAGCTGCTTGGGTGGAGAGAGACTCTCATGTTTTTGCAAAAAAAAAGTGTACTTTTTTTAGCTATTAGTCACTTGGAAGGCACAAAAAGCTGGACCCTGTAAGAAATAGAATATAGACATAGGGAGTAGAAGGTGTCCAGCCATTCAAAATGCTTTTTTTAAATGTGGCTATGCACATAGCAAATTTTCTGAAAATATTACTGTGAGCGTTTCCTCTTGAGGCTTCAGGAAAGATGAGGCAGCATTACATCTTGTTTTAAGGAGCAAGCACCAGGATCACAGTGAAAAAGAACAGTGGTAATAAAACTGCACTTGTTAATGTGACCTCACTGTAAGAGGTTTGTACTTCTGGTGTTACTAACCCTTTCTCCCAAAGTCATCAGGTAAGCCAAACAAAGGATACGCTTCTGACAGAAGTGAACCTGAGGCTCCACACATCCCTTACATGCTTCCTGGAAAAGAACTTTGACAGAGAACCAGTGTTGGCATCTCTTGTTCCAAGAGGGTCACTAAGAAACTCTTTCTTTGCCAGCCACACCCACTGCAAGGTAGAAATTCTGCCCCATGTGAAGTAGGAAATAAGGGAGAAGAGTGATGGGTGCTTGTTCTAAAAGCCTTCACCAAGAAACAGATCCAGCTCCTGTGGGTTGGGATAAGCCAATATCTCCGACTTTAATTCCCCTCATTGGTTCATAGGTCATGTAGACAACTCCATTTGGTTAAATTATGATACTTAAAGAAAAAAAAGATGAGTTGAAGCAAAATATTGAAAATGTACTGTAAGTATTCAGGCTCAGATGGAATTCAAATGTCCCATAAAGATGAGAAATGGGTCAGAATTAGGATGAGCAAGCCCACAGCAGAAGTTTGATGGATCTGTTCTGATTAAAAATGCCACGGCAAGCGACCCACACTGTAAATCTCCACAGAGAAGATCTTATTCCCCACCAAGCACAGAGTCTGTCACATAGCAGATACCCAAGCTGATTAATATTCTGGTTATTCTAGATAGAAATTTGTCTCTGATGAAATGATGTTTCTGATAATCCATTATCTTTGACAGAGACAAGCACCTCTGCCAACAAGTGGCAGCTACGCTTCATTGAAAATATCAAGTCCACATAAATAAGCCAGCTTAGGAGCACAGAGTACAAATTATTTTGATATGATTATCACAGCCTCCACCAAGACTACAGCTCCTACTGTAGGAGTAGACTACAGCTAACTAGCACAACACTGGCCAGCCTTGGCCACACCACATAAAGAACAGTGAGAATGACTCATTCCTTTCCTTTGGTTGAAGACCAATTTTAATTAGTCCCTCAGAGTGAAACTTTCTTCTTTAAGTAGGTTAACACCTTTGTTTAGGTTGCAGTCAATTCTAGTCTAGACCCAGAACACCTTTTCAGTGACAGCATTTCTTTTTTTTTTTTTT